CATGATGTTTGGGTTAAATTTCCTCACTTAGTATCAACATGAGGCCTTGGAGACTAAACTTTTAACACGTGGGCTTTCTTACGACCCAGCTGAAATAGCACATGCTAAGTTAAATATCCCCTCTTTTCTGCCATGTGTAGATTTCCTATGAGGGACTTCCAAAAGTTTATGTAAACCAAGTCTGTTAAAAACTGTGCATGGGGCACGGCGCAGTGGCCTAGTGGCCAAAGTCCTCACCTTGCACGTGCTGGCATCCCATATGGGCACCAGTTCTATCCCAGAAGCTCCACTTCCCATCCAACTCCCTGCCTGTGGCCTGGGAAAGCAGCCGAATATGGCCCAAAGCTTTGGGACCCTGCACCTGTGTGGGAGACCCAGAGGAAGTTCCTGGCTCCTGGCTTCAGATCAGCTCAGCTCTGGCTGTTGCGGTCAAATGGGGAGTGAATCATCAGACAGAAGATCTTCCTCTCTGTCTCTCCTCCTCTCTATATATCTGACTTTCCAATAAAAATAAATAATTCTTTAAAAAAAACTGCACATGGATTTTAAAATGTTTCATGCCAATAATATCCAAAAATTTCCCCTTTTACTTGGAAGGCAGATAAAAACAGAGAGAGATCTCCACCCACTGGTTCACTGTCCTAATGTCCGCAACAGCCACGGCTGGACCAGGATAAAGTCAGGAACCCATAACCTAGTGTGACTCTCCCCCATAAGAGATAGGTGTACAATCGCTTAAGTCGTGATCTGTTACCTCTCAGGCTGTAAATTTGCAGAGATTGGACTCTAACACTTGATCAGGAAGCCATCTGTCCAGTGATCACCCCGTGGCTCCTTGGAAGGGCTGTGCTGCCACCAGATACTTATGCTATCCATAAACCTCCTTTCCTTCAGACATGATGATAAATGCAAGCATACAATGACTCAATGGTCAACCACATTCAAGTAAGACATCTCAATAATTCCCTTAGAAAATGCCTCCAATGAACCTACGTAGAGACCTAGGCATTTTAACTATTTCAGGAATCATTCTCAAGACACAGAGCCTCAAAATCATTTATTCTAATTGTACTGTTCCCTTTACTTAGAGGGAAGGGAACAGAAATGCAACTACAATCTAAGTGTTTTTGAGGGAAGAGTTGTGATTTTTTCCATTGTAAAAGCAACAGAAAATAAGAGGCTGGCACTGTGGAACACAAAGTAAGGCTACCACCTGTGGTACTGTATTCCACACGGGCTCTAGTTTGAGTCCTGGCTGCTCACCTTCAGATCCAGCTCCCTGCTAATGTGCCTTGGAAAGCAGTGTAAGATGGCCCAAGTGCTTGGGGCCCTGCACCTACATGAGACACCTGGAGGAACTCCTGGTTTTGGACTAGCCCACCCTCTGGTTACAACCATTTAGGAAGCAAATAAGCAAATGAAGATCTTCCTATCTCTGCCTTGCCTCTCTTCCTTTGAAGGAAAATAAATGAAATCTTAAAAAAAAAAAAAAAAACAAATTAGGGTGGCTGCTGGAGGTACCTGAGCACAGTCAGGCTCAGTGTTTGGGCCCTCACCCCAGCCACCACTGCAAAGCGGTGAGTCCTGGGCTTGCCTAGGCCTTTTCTCCCTTCATGGTAAGTACATTGTGAAAGAATCTCTCGGGAGTTTGGGTTGGTCTCTGACTCCGCCTGCCACTATCTTGGACTTACGGGAGGCCAGAAAACCAACTGGCACCGGGTTCTGCCCCCGAGCCACCCAGCCACAAGCTCTGGGGTCTCGGGGTTGTAGAATTACTGCCTATGGACATCCGGTAAGGCCACTGTGTATGTAGGTAAGGAATGAATCTTGAGGGACTCCCAACAACAAGGCCACTGTTCTTGCAGGAAAGCAAGGGGACTGAGACCTGGTGGTTTGGAGGGGAGAATCTGAAGATTTTGTGGGTTGACTGATACACTAGCCCACATGGGAATCCTGAATAGGGTTTATTAGCATGGAACATTGCTGACCACCACACACCAGTCCACGTGAAAGTTAGGGATAGGGACTTGTCTAACAGGCTAGATCCCAGTACCTGACTACTGTTGCAACAGGGGAAGGGTTGCATTAGGCAGGGCCATGACACTAACCAGCACACAAAAGAATCAGGTCCAGGGATAATTCTGTGACAGATATGTGGGCCAAACCCTGTGGAAAAACACGTCCCACTGGTTAGCTCAAGAGTTGGGGTGGTGATGGGTTGAGCTAGGTGTGACCATGGAACCTGCCAACACTCACAGGTACAGGGACTGAGAATAGGCTAGGCAGATCCAGGCTGCAGCACCCTAACTAACATGTGCATCCTAACACAAGGTTTGGGGTGGGGTGGGCAGCAACATTCACCAGCTCATACAAGGCCAAGATGGAGAGGCAGACTATGTGGGCAAGGGCCTGGCACTCACTGGCATGCATGAGATCTGGGTCTGGGAGTGGGCCAAGTGGGGGAACTTGGGAAACTCCCCTAGTGGGTCATATCTCCCACTGATGAGCATGTGGTCCAGGCCTGGGGGTCGGGCAGGCTGGGCAAGGTAGCTCCAAGTGTTGGAGAATGTATGGGTGGATCTTGGAAGGAGGCTGACGGGGCAGGGCTGAGTAAACCTTAGCTCACAGAAAGTGCAGAAACCAGGCTGGAGCACAGGTCATGCCAAGCTAGGCTATCACACCTACCAGTTTGAATGAGCCAGGGATGGGAGCAGACTAGCAGGGCCAGATTGCTGCACCCACTAGTGAGTTAGGACTTACTTGGGACAGGCCAAGTCAGGTCTGGCTACAGCACCCAAAAGCAAAGGACAAGACAGGTGAGCGTCTATGCCAAACTGGGTCAGAGCAACCACGGGCATGTGTGAGATCTATGGCTGGGAGCAAGCCTGGTTGGGGAGCAAAGGGAATATCCCAGCTGGGTTGTAGGTCCTACTGGTGAGTGTGGGTGTCGGAGTTGAGGCTGCGGTTTGATCTGCAGTGTCCCTCGGCACAAGTGTGGACTGGGTCTGGGGTGTGCCAGACTAGTTTAGACTCCTGCACCCACTCGTGATGGTGAGAACCAGGGTAGGTGTAGGATAGCCTAGGTTAGGTCTTTGCCCCTTCTGAGCCATGTTTGAGGTGTGTCTGGGTGTAGACCAGGCTTGGCTGGGCTGTAACACCCAACAGTAAGAACTAGGATGGGTTGAAGGCTGGTCAAGAAAGGCCACTGTTCCTGCTAAGACAGGAGGTGGGCTAATTAGGGCTGGCCATGGACCCATCCATGTGCGTGAATTCTGGCATTGGGAGAGGTTCTGATGGAGGAGCTTGGGAAACTCCTCTGTTGGGACACAGTCCCTGCATGTGAGCACAAATACCATGATGGGAGCAGACCAGACTAGGCCAATTAGCGATACACACCAGCATACACTTGGCACAGGTCAAAAGTGAACCACATTGAGCCAGTTCATTTCACCCACTGCTGATTCCAAGCACCAGAATGGAGTGTGGGTAGGGACAATTTCAGTTCCAACAAGTGAGTTCACATGAAGGCCGAGACTGGGTGCCGGCTAGGTTGGGCTAGGTTGTAGCTCCCACCAGCATGAGCTGGAATTGGGGGGTGGGCCAGGCTAGGCCATGAGACAACATCCACTGGCAAATGCCAAGGTGAGGCTGGCCATGCCAGACTGGGCCACAGCACCCAACCAGCACATGAGAGACCGACAAGCGGGCAGCTGGGGAAAGCGGGGAGCAAAGCCAGTAGTGAGGCTGTGTGGGGCTCCCATGCTAGGCCACCACTTCCACTATCGAAGTGTGAGTTGGGACGGGGTAGACCAGGCCAGACAGGGCTACAACACTTGTTAGCCTCATGTGAGCTGGATCAGGGGAAAGCCAGGCTGGGTTGACTGTCACTACTGCTGCACACATAAGCCAGAGTGGGTGTGGGTTGGTTGGGCTTTGCCACAGCATCAGCTGGCAGATGCTGACACGGGGAGGTGGGGCAGATTGTCAAGTTAACCTGCAGAACCACCTGGAGAGTACAGGATCCAGAACTGGGAAGCACCTCCCTCTTAGACTGTCCTCTGACTGGTGAGCACGAGAACCAGGATTAGGGGCAGGCATGGCTAGACAGAAAGTGGAACCTGCCAGCAAGTGTGTGGGCTGGATAGTAGGGTTGGTTGGATTGAACTAGGCTTCAACGCCCACTGACATGTATGAGAGCTGAATAGGATGTGGGACAGACTGGACCAGTCTTCTGTACATACTGGCAGGCACAGGAATCAGGGCAGGGGGCAGGCCTGGTGAGGGTTATTGTGGGTTGCTCTGACTAGGCTACAGCTCCCACTGGTGTCCATGAATGGTGAGACTTTGGTGAGCAGGATTGGGCTGGCCTGCAACACCCACTGATGTGTGTAGAAGATAGGGTTGAAGACAGAAATGACCCAGCAATTCCAATCACCAGCATGTGCATAAGCTGATTGGGGCGACAGGCTATGCCGAATCCTGTATTGCCAGGCACACACAAGAATCAGGTCTGGGATCACTTCAGATGAAGTTTCTATGGAGACAGAACGAATCAATCAACTGCCCCAGCCAAGAGCTGGCAGGGACTATCTGGACAAAGACTTCAAGGTGGACTGTGTCAGCCAGTAGATTCTGGAGAGATTTCATCGTGCTTGGAGTGGCGAGGTTGGCAGCAATTCAGAGCTGTTGAACTATGGAAACCTCTTGAGCAGGACCCTCAGAGCATGCCCCACACTGGGGGCCCTGGGATGGTGTCGGGTAGCTGTCCTCCCTCCCAGTTGCAGAGGTGTTTGGGAGGCTGGTGTGGCTTCTCTGCTTCTCTACCCCTTCCCCCAGATACAGGAAGGAAAAAAAAGAGAATGTGGAAATGGTGATCTCACCCACTTTCCTGTAGCCCTTGACCCTCATCAACTTAATTAACTATGTAAAGATCATCAAAAATAAAAAGTATGTAAAAACAATTTCACTTTTTAAAAAATGTAAACAACTACATGTGGTATGTTTTAACTTTTTATTAGGAAACTAAGGCAAAACAACAGAATTCAAAAAAATAATACAGATCATAATTTTAAACAAATAGGAAATCTACATCCAGAACTAAAAATTAATTTGCCAGTCTTTGTGAAGAACGGGGAACGGTGACAATGTTCAGTCGTTACTTCTCCTTCCCAGCCTCAGGCTGGCACCCTTTCCTTCCTACTCCACTTGGACTCGGAGAAAGCATTTCTTCTCCATCTGTCCTTTGCCACTACAGCCTGTGATTTCAGAGGAGCGTCTGTCTTGCTACATGGTTCTCTGTTACTTTAGCAAACATGTGAGCACCTGCCTCGTGGGCTTGGAAGAGGCAGCTATGAAGATAAGCCTGTCCTAGTTTAAGGGAGCTAAGACACCAATAAATAATTAATAAATATAAATAATGTTACACAAGGCATAACGCAACACAACAGGAATTCAGCATGGGTAAAATATAGGACTAAGGACATTTCAAGGAAGATTACATTTGGCCAGGGGACCTGGAAGAGGTTCTGTGGGGACAGCATCTGAGCTGGTGCAGGTGGTTCCTTCCTAGTGAAGGCTCCGAAGTGGCCCATCGCAACCCGGGGGGGGGGGGGGGCCGCTTCAGAGCCCACGCCTCAGACAGTAATCCTTCTAATACCACTAATCTTTAAAACTCTCTAGCTAACTCTCCAAATCACTTAGTTCTCAAAAAACTACCAAGAACTAGTAATTTTAGTCTACATAAATGGTAATTTGAGGATGTAAGGTAAAAGGTTAATTTGGTCAGCTTCCATATGGTATCAGGCTATTATTTTTGAAACTCTTTCCTGGGCTAATCATATCCATAAGGCAAATGTCTAATCACTGAAACCATGATTTCAAATAGTCAATGGAGATGAAACCCACTCAACTTTAGGTGTTTTTAACCGAAAGAATGGCAGATGATATAGACGGCTCCAAAAGTCAGAGTGAAAATGATGAAATGATTCTATCAACCAAGAATTCCTTGTATGAAAATTTTAATAAACTACGAGCCACTGGACGATTACAGACTTTAAGCCTTGAGAATTTTTCCTTCCCTTTAGACAACTCTTTAGACAATCCATCCCAAGGGTAACAGAAGACGGTAACATAAGAGTCATGTTGGCTCCCACATCTGCATGTTGCATTAAGGAGAAAAAAAAAGTGCTCCCAACTTCCCCAAATTCAAATACATTTTTTTCCTGATCATAATTTTGGCTGAAATATAATAAATATGACTTTGTTTTTTTTCAACAGTAATTTTTCATCCATAACACAGCAGCTGCCCATTTTGTCCTTTACCCTCAATATCCTGTGAGGTAGTGAAAAGGGAGGGAGGGAGGGAAGGTTTTCATTTGCAAATGAGAATTCAAGATGAGTTTTAGATCAATGGTTCTCAACCTTAGTAGGATATGGAAATCAGCACAGAGTTTTAACAAAAAATCATTTTGGCCAGTTCTAATCCCATGGCAGTATCAGATTATCAAGAGTATGGGACCCAAAAATCATTATTTTCAAAAACATACGTCAAACTCCAAAGGACAGACAAGGTAGAGAACCACTGGTTTTGATAATTTATACTCAATTTTCAGGTGCAATTGTCTTCTACACAAATACTCTCTGCACCAATGAAAAAAGAGGCTGCGTGTCCATGAACGATGTAGCAGGTTAGTACTGCATACAGACACTATTGATCTAGGAATACATCTTCTTACCAGGCTACAAACAAGGCTTTCACTGCCCTGATGCTCTTGCTGACCTGGATTCTCCATTTTATTATAAAAGGTATAAACTGGATATTGTGTTTCCTTTGCTACAGGAATGGCTTACTGTTAAATTTTAGACAATTATTTGATGCTAGGCTTAATGTGCAAAAACCATGTGTTTCTGTTTTCCATTCTGCACCTTCAACACTATTACAAATGAATATTTACTAATAAGACAAAATAAAGATTATAAACACTCTTTAAAAAAAAAAAAGGCTCTTGGAATTGGCCATACCATAACCTGAAAAAGAAGCAAGTACTTGCAGAATTTTATCACTTTGTAAGTAGCCAATTTCCATCCTGAACCAGTTTTTTGCAATCAAATTTTAAACTTTGCCAAATTGAGTTGTTCTACACCAAGTAAAATCAATTTCTTTGATCAGCTACATTCTCTAATACATTTAACATCACTCTGTACAAGATTTCTTCTTTTGACACAGATATCAAAAGTCTTCAATAAATTTTACCCTTTCAAGCCACATACCAAATACACAGTAAATACTTGTAAACCTTTCAGGTGGCAACAGCAGCCTTTGTTCTATGGTTGAAACCCCTGGCTTCACTGGAGTACTGACAATTTCAACTCTCAAAGCAACCCAAGATCCCCAGCAAGCTGCTTGCTGTTCCTAACTTAGACTTAAAACAAAATATACCTACAGCAACAATCTCAAAGTACAAAGATTTCACTTGCCTTCGTCAATTCTTATTATCAGAAACCATACAATTTATACTTTCATACAGAAAGATATTGTTTACTTCTCTTCTAACAAAAGAAAATCTCAGTTCAGGGGTAACGGATCACCGACACAGGGAATATTAATGAAGAGAAATAAAGTGTATCAGTCCAAATAGGAGGTAATGTTAGATTTGTCAAGGATGAAACTTTCAAAATACTGCCAACCCGAAGCTGTCACATTTCAAGTCCCATGGGGGCAATTTTTTATCATTAAATCAAAAATGTTCTCAACTTGGGTTCAGGCTGTCAGAGTTTCTGGGAGGTGAGTAAACATTTTCGTGGTAGCCCCAGTGAAGAATCTGAAACTAGGACTACTGCATGACGTAAACAGTATGAAAGGAAATTTTTCCAATATTATCTGTAGCATTATGAAGTTACAAAATAAAAGGAACATCATTCTCTTACTTGCCAGGAGTCTGCGATGACAGCTTTCATGGAGTAAATAGCAATGTTCTGTATTATGAGACACTTTCTCAGCCAAAACATAAAACCAGACACCAAAAGGTATGCATTGCTATCATGCTTGGATATGTGTCTTGGCCAATATTTGTATAAATAGAAATAGATGTGCCTTCCCTCAGTGTTTAACCAGGAAACTGAAGGATCTTTACTGTAACTTTAATGGCTATAAAACCTTACAATCCAGCAAGACTGTAAAACCTATGGGAATGGTAAGCCAGAAAGAATACAAAATGAGCCAAAACTTATCTCCTCTTAAAATCCTCTTCTTTGTAGTAATGCAATTGTCCCAAAATGTTATTTTAACTTTGTACCATGTAGTGGTTTTTAAGAAACTGAACTAGAACAAAGCCACCCCTTTGTCCTTTTTTTTTCTTTTAGTTTTTTAAACACACATATTGTATATACAACTTTTAAAATAGCTGCACAATTTTCTGTCTCAGAGAAGTGCAGTCCCAGGCAGACCATGCTTCTCAATATATTAAAAATATTAAATAGAACACAGCCAGTTTCATACTTCTCTGATAGTCAAGCTGGCTGGGGGGCGGGGGGACTGGAGAAAGAACAGGCGGTTGTAACATGGGATCAATCTTTCTTCACCAACACACTGGTTGAAAATGTGCTACTTCCTTAACCCTCTCTCACAGCATCTCAAAAATTTCACCTTTAAAGCTGGAAAGAAAAACATTGCTAATTTAGAGACAAAATCTGTTGCAACCTGCATAGGTCAACTGCCCACTCAACCAACTGCGACCCGGAGGCTTTCCCTGGCCCGGTGGAAAGAGAAAACACTAAAAATAATCTGCAGCCGAGTTGCTTCTCCAGTTCACAACTTCTCGTGTTGCTGAGGATGTTACTTGGACATGCACATAACACACCGTCACTTCATGATTCCCAGAAGCGGCACTCTCTTCTTTCATCTCAAGAAAGCCACTGTCATCCATCCAGGGGTTTTCCAAGGTACACCAAGGTCACTTCTGTGTTGCCATATACAGCGGAAACTGCTGGATACAAGCAGACCTTCGGAAGTCCTCTAAAGGCAACCCCCAGGAACTCATATCCGCGTTCAAAAGCTAAAGTCTTATCTTCCATGTCCAAGATGACTCGAATTCTTTCTCCTATCTGCAAACAGATGTCGAAAGATGGTTAGAAGAAAATTCACCAAGGATACAATTGGAAGAAACATAATGAGAATGTATATCCTAAAGTTTTCCAGAACAATCAGAAGGGAAGCTTGCTGGGTCAGGGAAAAGGACGTAGTTACGGAAAATACATCAGTCTCTTTGCAAATGCTTATTCTGATCGTTTTGTTTAAAGACTCACATGGGACCTACATTTAATTACTAACAACTTACATGCTCTCTCTAAACAATCTCCAGGTTTTATTTACATTTTGTTTAAACGCTTTTCTTAAGCCTCCTAGTGCTTTACCATAAGACTTTCTAGGTAACCTTGTAGATTGCTTTATATACCCTCAAGAAGTTTACTTAGCCAAATTTTGATAAACACTACTGTAAAAAAAAAAAAAGGATTTTTTTTTTTTTTTACTTTTTAAAAAGATTTATTTTTCTTGGAAAGGCAGATATACAGAGAGGAAGATCTTCTGTCCAATGGGTCACTCCCCAAGCGGCCGCAAAGGCTGGAGCTGAGCCAATCCAAAATCAGGAGCCAGGAGCTTCTTCTGGGTCTCCTAAGCAGGTCCAGGGTCCCAAGGCTCTGGGCTGTCCTTAACTGCTTTCCCAGGCCACAAGCAGGGAGCTGGATGGGAAGCAGAGCTGCCAGGATTAGAACTGGCGTCCATATGAGATCCCGGGGCGTGCAAGGTAAGGACTTAACTGTTACACTATCGCACCGGGCCCTGATTTTTAATTTTAAAGTTAGAGTTACACAGAGAGAGGAAGAGACAGAGACAGATCTTACATTCACCGGTTAATTCCCCAAACAGCCACAACTTGGGCTGAGCCAAGCAGAACCAGGAATCTGGAGTTTCTTCCATATCTGTCACATGAGTGCAGATGCCCAAGGACTTGGGTCATCCTCTGTTGCTTTCCCAGAAACATTAATAGGGAGCTGATTCACAAGTGGGGCAGTCAGGACACGAACAAGCACTCATACAGTATCTAGGGCACTGCTGTTGCAGGTGGAAGTTGAACATAATACACTATGTTAGCCCCAACTGCAAGTTTTTTGAACCACAATACACAATTTTTTTGAATTCCACTTTTCTGGTTCACTCCTTAAATGCTGCAACACCCAGGGCTGGGTCAGGGAGAAGCCGGGAGCCAAAAACCAAAACATTTGGGTCATCATCGTCTGCTTCCCAATCAGCCTGATACAGAATCTGGGGGTCCTAGGCAGTAGTTTAATCTACTATATCACAACAACTATCTCAAGTATATTATTATACACACAACACACACACAAAACCACCATGGTAATGTGACACTTAAAATCTCTTTAAAGTTCAAAAGTAGTTCCACATAAAATATAGAATTTATAAAGTCAGTTCCAACTATAGATTCCAAACATGCAAAACAGGCTTATTAAATAGTTAACTGTATGTAGCTCCCTGCTCTGAGACAACTTTTAATTGTGACAACAGCAGCACCACCTGTTAAATGGTAAGCTCAGTATATCCAATTCTTATTTGGAAAAGCAAATAAAGAATGCTGCATCTAAAATCTGCAATCAAAAAATAAAAAATCTGGGCCTGGTACAGTAGCCTAGCGGGTAAAGACATTGTCTTGCACACACTGGGATCCCATATGGACGCCAGTTCTAATCCTAGCAGCCCACATCCCACCCAGCTCCCTGCTAGTGGTCTGGGAAAGCAGTCAAGAATGGCCCAAAGCCTTGGGACCCTGCACCCACATAGGAGACCCGGAACAGGCTCCTGATTTTGGATTGGCTCAGCTTCAGCTGTTGCGGCCGCTTGGGGAGTGAATCATGAGACGGAAGATCTTCCTCTCTGTATGTATCACTTTCCAACAAAAATTAAATCAGTATTTAAAAAAAATCAAAACTCCCTACTTCTTAATTACGATAACCTTATGGTTGTCACTTACTCTCTCTCACTGTATATCCTGTCACAAATAACTGCCAATGTGCTTTTCCTCTATTTTCCTTACTTACAGATTCATCCATAATCCATCTTATGGATCAAAGAATCTCCAATTCATCACTACCACCACAATTACCCACAAGATACAAAAAAAACAAAAAAACAGGAAAAGGGCCCAATACTGTAGCAAAGTGGCTAAAGTCTTTGCCTTGCATGTACTGGGATCCCATATGGGCGCCAGTTAATATCCCAGGTGCTCCACTTCGCTTCCAGCTCCCTGTGTGTGGCTTGGGAAATCAGTCGAGGATGCCCCAAAGCCTTGGGACCCTGGCGTAAGACCCAGAAAAAAGCTCCTTGCTTCGGATTGGCAATGCCACCACTGCAACCACTTGGGAAGTAGTAAACCAGGGAATGAAGATCTTTCTATTTCCCTTCTCCCTGTAGATCTGACTTTGCAATAAAAAAAAAAAGGAATAAAATGCTAATATTCTGTTGAGTAACTATCTTGTGCTTTATCTGTATGACCTTATTTAATCCTCATATTAACCTTAAGAGTTAGCTCTTATTTTACTAAAGACAAAATTGGGCTTGGAGGCATGGTTTACCAGCTAAAGTCCAAGCCTTGAATGTGCCAGGATCCCATATGGGCACCGGTTCTAATTCTGGCAGCTCCACTTCCCATCCAGCTCCCTGGCTTGTAGTCTGGGAAAGCAGTCGAGGACGGCCCGATGCTTTGGGACCCTGCACCCGTGTGGGAGACCTGGAAGGAAGTTCCTGGCTCTTGGCTTCAGATCGATGCAGCACCGGCTGTTGTGCTCACTTGGGGAGTGAATCATTGGACGGAAGGCTTCCCTCTCTGTCTCTCCTCCCCTCTGTATTGTAATAAAAATAAATAAATCTTAAAAAACAAAAACAAAAAAAGACAAAATCAAGAGCTATTTTTGCTGTAATTTCAAGGGTGCTCCACCTTGGACAAGCAGCAAGCAAAAGCACAGGCAGCAGACAAAAGTCCTTCAAATTGTGGGTATCTGTGGGTAAAACCTGGAGATGCCAAAGCAACTGGACACAGGAGGATCTTGAAAAGCAAGGGAACCACAAAAAGTGACGAGCTCTACATCCTGATGGGAATAAACTCTGCCTGAATGAGTGTGTGAGCATCAGACAGGCTGTAACCCCAGGGAACCAAGCTGGAAAAGCAGCAAGGCTGACAATACCGAGCAAAGACATTAGACATTGCACACCTCAGGAGAGACAGAGTTCAGAGACGGAATCCAGTCTAGGTAACTGCGCACTGTAACCAGGCCCAGGGGGTTTCGTTTTGTTTGCAGACAGAAGTTCTATTTGCAAAGTGACCAGGTGAACACAGAAAGCGGGAGGGGAGAGCACCCACCAGGAGGAAAGGGCCGGCAGGTTAGGTGCCTCTTGAAAGGCACCTGTGCTCTTAAGAGTACAGCAGTTTTTGGGAAACAAAACATTCCAGAATAATTAGAACCTGTATGTCCAGTTTTTAATTTAAAAATTACTGAAAAGCAGGAAAGTGTGACTCATACTCAGGAAGGAAAAAAAAAGCAGTCAATGAAAAGTAATGTCCTGAGGCCCATGCAGCAGAGCACACACAGCAGCACACAGGGGACCTGCCAGCAGCTCGGCCTGGCACCAGAGGACAGCCCTGCTCCCCAAGACACAGGAGAAAAATAAAAATTGGAAGCGCTTGTCCCACCTACCTTCCTCCATGCCTGAACCCTCTCAACCCTTACTGGGTGCCTACATGAGGTATAACCTTCTCAATTATGCAAACAGCATTAAAAATTAAAAAAAAAATAATAAAAAAAGCTAACATCCCCAACTATAGGCAACATCTTAGGTTTCCTTGTATCTAAGAAAGTGTGACACTGCTGGAAGAAAAGCAGCCAAGAGCTGGTGGGCATCTTAGGGCTGGTTGATGTCAACTCTGCTAACTATACCACTGCGCCAGCACAGTTCCCTATTCTGTTTTTTTTTTAAGATCTTGGAGGAAGCAGATGGAGTGCCCATCATCTTCTGCTTCCCAACCACCCTAGTGCCACCATGGGGGGGGGGGTATTGGCATGCATCACTAGGGGATGGGGGACTGGAGAAGGGTCATAATGGAGGTCACTAAGAACTTATTTGGCATATAGATTTCGAATGGCAAACATGGACCAGGCCACTGCACTTGCAGGGAATAAGGAAGGTGATATGAAATGGATCTGAAGGGGATCCGGAGGACCTCCCTGGGTGAGGCCAAAGCACCCACCTGCCAAGTACAAGAGGCAGGACTGTGGGCAGACAGGGCTAGGCTAGGTCATAGTACTTGGTGCATTTGGGGGTGGGTTAGGTAAGGAATTAGGTAAGGAATCTTGGGGAATTGCTCTGACTGGCCACCGCACCCACTGCTAAGTGTCAGGGTTGGGAGCAGCCCTGGTAGGGGATCTTTGGCAACACCCCTGCTAAGCCGCAGCACCTATCAATGCACATAAGAGCCAGGGCTGCAGGAGGGCGGGGCTGCGTTGTGCTGTAGCATCTGCCAGCAAGTGCCAGGGGTGGGCCATGTTAGACTGGACTGCAGCATTCATTAGAATGTATGAGAACCAGAGCTAGGTACAGGCCTAGTAGGTAATCTTTGGGGACACCCCTGATAGACTGCAGCACCTGCCCGCACCTTTAAGAACTGGGTTTTGGGGGCAGGCACAGTAGGGGCTTGTAGGGGTTGCCATGCCTAGGTCACAGTGCCCACTAGTGCACCCGGGAGCCGGTTAGGTCCGATTAGGTCATAGCACTCACTGGAACCTGTAAAAACTAGGGCTGGGGCAGGACCAGATAGGAGTTTTATCGAGGTCACCCCCACTAGGTCGTAATACCTGCTGGTGTGTGCAAGAGCCAGGGCTGGGGGATGTTGTGGGCTAAGGAGTTGATTAGTGTTCGTTGGGATGGGCAGGAACAGGAACTGGGCTTGTAGCTAAAAACACCTAGATGAATTGGACTAATCTGTATCCAATTTCCTGGCTAAATTAGGACTTGGGGGGAAGAGTACATAAGGAGA